TATCAATATTTTAAACCAAATATTAATATGTATTTATTCTCGTGAATTTCACCTAAAAACTATTCTCTATTGTGATTGTGATTTGCAGATTAGATTATATTTTGTATTTTGCTTATTGCAATGACGCACCTTCTTCAATCAACTTAGTTCGGCTGCAACGAGTTGTGCATGTTCCACTCCGTTAATATCCAATATTTGCGAATATCAAAACATCGTACCCGTATAATTTCATAAACGTGCTGTGTTTGCTCGCTCGAATTATTCGAACATGCAACGTGCACTTTAATGTCCATACTCGTTTACTCACCGAATGCAATTTGCAAATGTTTCGCTGTTTGTTTAGGCAGCGTATTTTTAGATCTAGGTTCAATGCGAAAAAGTGAAAAATCGAAAAAGGGGATTGGCCAAGAGAAAATTAAAGAAAATGTAGATAATTGCATATTAAACTTCATTGCATTGAAATGTTAATGAAATAATGATAAATATGAAAATATTGTAAATTCCTATTATTCATGACAAGAAAGTTCAGAGAACAATGCTTGTGTTGTGTATTTATCTCGTTTTTGTTAGTTTCCATAGAGAATTAATCGTAAATTAATAATGGTTTTGGACAATTAACTATATTTTAAGTTGTGCCTATATAATACTTTTGCCATAATACGTAAAACAAACAACTAACTAGGTAATAACAATAAAGTACTAAGCACAAAACTAATCGAAAACTACTAATGAATACTTATAAGTACAAAGTTTTACTTGATTCGTTGTTAAATGTAAATCTGTGTACACATTTTGATTAATTCCTGGTTTTCCTTTATTAACATACTTCCTGTTTATTCCTATCCGATATCTTAAATGTTGCTGCAACATAGATGATAATATTTCACCCACGCTGATGTCGCAAACGTTTAAGCCTAATTAATTAAGTAATTATTCGCCGAGGCTTAATTTTCTCCGACTTTACTTTAAGACTGTTTGCAGAAGCAGAAGTAGGTGATTCACTTGACTGGGCTGATGCCGATGATAGTGTGTGATCATCGCCCACTTATATTTAGTCATACGCGTGTGTCTGTGCAGCCGCTCACCTAAATAACGAAAAGCGAAACGCCGAAAACAAGCCGTTGATGCAATGCAATGCGAATCAGCGCGGCGCGGCGCGTCTGTGCGTGGTCGTGCACCTCCAATTTTAACTTTATACCTATGTGTGCACTCATTACACATCTTTAGACTCAAAACATACAAGTTCTGGTCACAACTCACAACCTAGCCAACGCCAGCCGTTAGTGAGTCAAGTCTAGTCATCAAAACTTTTCAAAGCAAAAAGAAAAAAGGAGATTATAGGTCTTTAGGTCAGTTTGAAGCTTAAAACTGGTCAAAATCTACATTTCTACACTAATTTACAATTTTGTTAGTATAGGCAACACATTGAACACTTTTATGTATTGCATACTAAGTTGCATGACACGCATCTTGCGAATAAAATACAATTTGATTAATTTATCGATGGCGTCATGTCGTTTCACTGAAAGTTGTCTCTGCAGCAATAAAACGAATCTGCAGAACAGTTAAAGTGTAAATCTGTGTATAAATTGCAGATTTGCAACGAAAGTAAACGCATATGAACACCAGCGAGCCGAAGAAATGTAAACCGCTACCCACACACACCACACATGTTTTCAATTGCGCAATTGACACACTGTCCATGCTCACAAAGGTGGAAGGCTTAATTTCATTCGTTTCATTCATGTGCTCGGTCGGAATTAAAATGTAAAAACAATATATAGGTATATCAATGTGTAGATGGCGCTGTGATCATTTTCTTTGTTCATGCATAGTTAAATTAAATTAAATAGAAAATTCGTGCTTCTCTTGTCGATGGCGTTTGATGATAACCAATAACCAATAGTAGGTACTTGTATATGCATTATTAGAATGCGTGCGTGCAGCGGGAGACAAGTGCTCTGTAAACATTTTGAAATTCTTTCAATGTTCGACTGCTATTCGTCAATTTCAACGGTGATTTCTACATACTCGTAGAAATTCAATTGTTTTGAGAATTTACTGCCATCAGGTGTATTTGATTGTTTGACTCTTACAATGCCTGACGAACATTTCAAGTGTTTGATTAGGAAATGTCTTCATCTTCATGCAATACGGAAATGTGGCACGTGGATAATTCAAATGTCAAAAAACAGTTTTTAACAATTTTTAACTTTTTTAATAAAAAAATTAATTTGCTTTTAAATAAAAATATGCAATTTAAATTAATTTAAATTTACTTGTACCGTATGGTGTCTAGGTTTTGTTTAAATTCTTAAAAACGTGCGTGGTACGCAAACGATTTGAACGCTTGAGTGCGTTGAATTATATAAAGGAAGTAAGGTAAGTGTTTTTTTATTTTTGTTTTTCTTGAATACTTGTAACTTAAACGGCGCTTAAACGACAATGATTAAAACCAACCACATGACACACGCAGGAGGAGACACAGAAATGCATCCATCGTATGCTCTCCAAAGAAGAAAATATTTAATACATTGTGAATAATGAGCAACTGCATGCCGCTGGATGAGGAAACGCGATACTTTTATGGCGTACCAATGCCAACACGACAATCCGCCAACGCAGAAACCGAGAAAAAGTCGAAAGTTTCATTCATAAAATCGGCCACATGTTCAAGGGAATGAAATTACGTACTCGTATGTAATCAAAAACATATTGAAATTTACGACATCATATGAAAAATAAAAATTAATATAAATTTTTTTCTTGGTGATGATGAAATTATTTGTAAGTGCACCTCATTTCACACTTTTCAATCGATAATTGAATTCCACTCGAAATTAAATTATACCGAAACACCTACTTATCTACCCGCATTTTTTGAGAGTCGGTGAAGAGTCAAGAAGCACACGCGGCACGTGTCAAAGAATATTGAACAAGGCTCGTTGAAATAATAATTAGGAGCATAATAATGATAATGATGATGGATCGAAACCACTATACTAAAAAATATGTAGCTATAGGTAAAAATATTTTGATTTGTTTGAACATGTGTTTTTTATATGAGTACTAGCTGTTGCCCGCGACTTCGTTCCGGCAGTGTTTAATAAAAATGTAATTCGTTTTTACTCTCTTGTTTAAGACATACTCGTAGTAAGAGTCAATTCTATCAATAAGATTACCATTTTTAATTTAAAGAAATTAATTATTTAAAGTTTTGTCAATAATGCACTTCAGCGCGCCATCTCGAATTCTCGAATTTAACTATAACTATGATTGAATCTCAATGTCAAATTTTATTCTATAGAAAAGAGCTGTTTTGATGATTTTCCCGGCAATTATTCGAATTTTTCTCACCTTTTAAACCTTCCCTAGACCTCCACGAATAATTCAAGACCAAGATAAGATAAATCCGTTCAGCCATTCTCGAGTTTAAGCGAGACTAACGAACAGCAAATCATTTAAGATGAATATATAGATGATATATAGATGAATAAAAATAGATTCTTGCAAATGGTGCAATTATAAACACATGAAAGAAAACACCGCAATATGAGATCAGTAATTGAATATATGTAATTTAATTGATTGCGCAAGAGCGGAATAGTTCAATACACACTGCTTATCTTAATCACATGCCGACGAATAGCGCAAATTATTGCCATAATTAAATAAATAATCACTCAATGGTAATTAATGTAAACATTAGCGCTTAGTGCATAAGATAATGCGATGCAGAAAGTAAAAAAGTCAGTTTTTATATTTAAATTTATTACGACTTTTTGGCACACAATTCAGAACTCAGAATTCAATCTTGGCACATGCAAAATTTATACTTCCGGTTAACATAGAAAAATAATTAAATTTATTTTTATTTTCATTTTTATTTTTAAGTGAATGTAACTGTAGTTTAAGAAATTTTAAATTATGAACTGACAACCAGGTCTGCTAAATATGTCACTTAACATTAGTTAATTGTACTTAAGTTAAGTCAAGTTTAAAAAGGCGTTTACAAAATTTTGGGAAAAACATCCGCCATATGGCATCTCAACTGCAAATATTGCAAAGTGCCGGCATGGGAAATTACTGACAATTTGACGACCTGAAATCCCAGAGGCAACCACCATAATCTAATAACTCAAGCCGCCTTTTAAGAAGGGGACACTTCGAATACAAAAGGTCAAAGTAGAAAAATCTGGCCAACATATGCGTAAGGATTTTCCACGTCGTTTAACCAATTCTCTTTTACAACCTCTACAATCACTAATAATATAAATTTAGAAAATACGTAAAATATATTTTTGAGTTTTGTTCCGCACGCGGTTCTAAAATACAATGTCCTTGAATTCAGCAAACAATCGCACTTTTATTGACGGTTTCGTATTGGCCTATCGTTAATTAACAAATATTTAGCGTCTCAGCACCAATAAATGTTCAGTTATTGAGCTAAACTTAAATTAAACTTCATATTAAAGAGAAAATGTTATTATTAAAGTTATAAAAATGTAAACTACAATAATATCGCGGCGAATGAGTTTGAGAAACGATCTCCAATCAGCAAACGGCCATCAGATTTGCATTATTACGTAAGGTAGTTTAACCAAATGGCAAATAGCTAAAGCAAACGCATAAAATTATACTCAGTAACAAAACAACTCAGATTTTATAAGTTTCGACATGAATAAAAATAGTTTTTAATTATTTTTTGTAAATAATTTAATTTAACAAGTTGAAAATGCAAGAAACGAAAAAAACGTGAAAAAGAAATTCAAAACCTGCACGGTGTCGGGCGCCGCGACGCCGCTCCTATTTATAACTGTTTAATTTCAGCGTCTTACACACTTTTCCGCGCAAAGTCCACACGCAACTCGCCGTCGCACAAAATTTCTTCACGGTGCACGCATAAAACTTAAAAACATCAAATTTACTTTTATTTTAAAACTATTTTTGCGTATATAATAATTATAATACAATTATTATTTTTATTATTATTGGCTTACCAACTATCACTTCGCAATCGATGCGTCGCGACGCTAAATCCGAACATGGACTCGGAATGTCCGCCAAACTTGGCGTAGTTCTGCGTGTCCAGATTAAATCCATCGACGACACCAGCACACAACACAAGAGAGCAAATGGCAATTTTGAAGATGAACATTTTACACGAACACTTTTCTGGCGTTGAACACATTTTTTGATATTTTATATTACAATATTTTCATAATTATTAATTTAAAAGGTTCAAAACTAAAATTTATGTTTATTTTATTTTATTATGGCACATCGTTGCGGCCCGGCCGCATTCGTGATTCGCGACTGAGATGAAGTTGGTGCGCAGTGTTTCGTTCGCAATCTACGACAGAGTTTGTTATAGTAAAGGATCCGGGGCCTATTTTGTGACTTGATTACTATCAAGCTAATTTTCCGTGAGTAGCTTCATTTTGATAAGACGCCCAACAATTTCCTGTGCGAAAATTTTTGATTGTGGTAGTTAACAGAGGTAGCAATGATAAAATATGTCGATTTGATGATTCTCAAATATTAATTACTAACTGGATTGTTTTTATTAAATCTTAAGATAATTATCTAAATTATTTGAAAAATATTTGTCCTACAAAATCTATGGTTTCATCAAAGAGTCCTCCCCTCCAACATGTATTGATAACGAGATCACCAAAAATTATTACTAACCAGCTGATTTTTTTTTTTATTACTTAGTTAATATATATATAATGTCACGGTCATATTGTCCTACAAATTCCGTGGTATGTTATCCCAGTCCTACGCTCAGAAATTGTTAATACCATAAGACCATTTTTCTCATTACTAACTGTAGGACAAAAATATTACATAATAGGTTAGTGTGTTCTGTGCCCAAATAAAACAATGTCCTACAAAAAAACAGGTATGTATCACTAGTCCGACAAAAATTGTCATTTTTTCGTTTTCCGATTTCTAACATAAGATACAGTGAGAAAATCTTTTTTAAAATTTAAATAAGTTTATTTTTTTGAAAAATGAGGTACAAAAATTGGTGTATTTATAGATAACAAAAATTAATCTTCATCATATTCATCCGATGAATCATAATCTTCGCTACTAACATCGCTGTCATCTTCATTTGTTTCACTTTCCTCACTTGTGATATCTGACTCTATAATAACATTAAAAAATTAAGTAAATTATATAATAATGAATAATCAATCAATAAATAACAATAGTATAAATAGGTTACCTTGTATTTCAGAAGATAATTCTTCAAAAGATGGACTTTGGGGACCATCAAACCAATAGTATTCATATTTGCCATCAATTATTGTCCATCCAAAATTTTCCGGCAATTTTTCCGTGGGGCACCGCATATGTGCGTTACACCATACATTGCAGATAAATACAGTTCTTTTAATTTGTTGTAACAATTCTTCTTTTGTTGGTGGCAAACTGGAAGGATCATATCCTACGATTTTTTGTTTTAAAATTTTTTCATTCTGATTTTTTGATCTATATCCTTTTTCAAATAACTCGTACCGTCCTTTGTTGATATCATTTTTTATTTTTAATGAATACACTCTGCATACATACTCTTCAATAATTTGAAATACCTCATTCGATGTTGTTAATGCTGTATTTTCAATCCGTAGGAGTTGAATAAAAGCCTCTTGAAATTTTTTATTTTTCTTTAAAATACTAAAAGGTCTCTTTTTTCCTTTACGAAAGAAAGCGGGATTATAATCATTTCCTGTAAAAATATGGCATATAGCGAGTGAACAAGATAATTGGTCCCCAAGTTTTTCATACATTTCATTTATGTTTAAGTACATTTTTTTTACTCGTGCTTAAATTAATTATTACTTGAATTTCATCTTTTAAATACTTAAAATTAGCCAGCATTATTATTGGTATATCAGAATCTGTACAATGTATCTGCACACGATAGTTAGTATTTAATTGACAAATGTGGTATACAATTTTGGTATCAGCTTCTTCATGATAACACGAGAGGTTATAGTCAATGACTCTTTTTATTTTATTTTCACTAGACACCTCATAAGTGTAACATTGATCATAGTTAAGTTTAACAGTTTTTCCTGTGATCAATATAATAAATTCGTCCCTTGTCCAATCTTCAATTAAAAATTCGACAAATTTTTCTTTAAAGTTGTTGCTCCTCAATAATTTGCAGAAATCTACAGGACGATTAGAGTCTTTACGTATTACGTCATACTGTGTGTCCTCTTCACCTCTCAAATCATGTTCAAAATCTTTAATACTGGGTTTTTTGTATTTGTCAAATATAATATGTACTTCTTTTCTGTTATATGTAAGTATTTTTAATATATGCATCGAGATTTTACCATATTTGTTTGGAAGGTTCTTCAATGTATGTAATAAATAAAATCCATCTACTAAGTGAATGTCTGCTTCTGGAGGATTTAGTATTTCAGTTTGATATTCTAGTAATTCATTAATAACCACAGATTTGGGGGTCTTGCAAATTGTTCCATTAGTGTGACAAAGTGAAAATGGAATAGGAGCTAGAGGATAACTTAATGCTTTTTCTATATCAATTTTATTTTGTAGTGACGCATAAAGTAGACGACCAAAAACATCTCTTTGTATCTTAACTTCTCTCACTTTTCCATTAATTTTGACGTTTTTCGTATTTTTGTGCTCAAAATTAATTATTTTATTTTTAGTAATGGCTTTATCAAACCTATCTGGTGTAGCTCGAGTCTCAGCAATGAAATTCTTTTGTTGTTTTTCGCCTTCGATCTCAACTGATGATAAAAATTTATATATTTCATCGTTCACTGACTGACCTTTCGATATATTGTAAAGATGATCTTCTGACAGCTCTAATGCAAAAGGATTGGTATACTGCTTTATCAGTTGCATCAGTACTTCTAAGTTTTTGGTAGATTTATTAATAGTTGACTTCTTTAAATCATTCGTAATATCATCTGTTGATTTCATATTACAAAACTCCATTACTTTAGATATAATACTTTTACGTAGTGAATGAATAATTGACCATTTTTGTCTTGCAGAGAACGAGTTTGTAATATTAATAATTCCAGAAGCTTTAGAAGCAGCGTCAGCGTTGATTGTTTGTTCAAGTGTTAAATCAACTGGGATTCTTGAAAAAGGTTTCATTGTTCTTCGAATGCCTATGAAACTCTTTTGACAATCATCAAGCAATCCGGGATGTGTAGTTTCAATATTTATCAACTTATCCCAATAAATAGACATATACCTTGCATAATTATGATGATTCATTGAAAAAAAGACATTTGTTATTTTCGGTAAAGTGTGTACAAATAAACTGAAGTCACCTATACGAATACTATATTCTAATTGGAGATAATATTCTACTAATCTTGTGTACATTAAATAAATTTGAGGTGTTTTGCCATGACTTCCATTTAAAGTTTCATTTTTATATTCTTCATATTTGTTAAATATGATTTTTAAATTCCCATTGGTTATTTGTGGGTCATCATTTTGTTGCTCATTAAATATTTCTAAGTATTCTTTAATATTTTCCAGGTTCTGATAATGTTGTAAAAACCTTTCCAAATGCAAAATCTGCAAAGCAAGAGAAAGTAGAGGATGAATTTTCCTGCACCGATTAAAGTGTTTTCCACTTATAAAGGAACTGATAGAACCACTGGCCAAAATTTCGCTATCTATAAGAATATTTGTTAACCCAGATCCACTGATAAAATTTCCGATAGCTTTCATGAATGATAACATTATGTGGAAAGGTCCAAAATTAATGAAAAGTTTTTGAAATTCATCCTCCGCACTCTGTATCCGTAAAGCAATTTTGGCCATAGCTAAATCGTAAGTAACGCTGAAGAAATTTTTCTGACATTCCGAAGCGATTTGCAAACTTCTTCGCATGGTCTCCTTTACAACAGCCGGATCCGTGGGTGAATTATTAATTTGCGTTAAATACTCAATCTTTTGAATTCTACTGTCATCTTTTAAAATTTTGGCATTATATCCTACCCACATTGGCGTGTTTGAAATTTGAAAGTTATGGGAAAGTATCCATGTAAAATATCTGTGCTGAAAATTAATTAAATTTTGCGGTTCTTCAGATGACGCTACACTACTACGCCAAAATTCTGGACGACGTTGCTTCGCGTACGGTACATTTTCAAATGTCTGTTCCTCAAACGAACGTTTTCTACGGCCAGTCAAATCACGAACATTAACTGATAAATTCTGTTGAGCTTCAGTAGATGCATCGTTCCTTTTGATGATGTTCAATTCTTCTTCTGTAGGGATATTTTGATAAATGATACCCACAGTGTCATGCAAGGTATTTTTACCAGAGCTTGTCTCTACATATCTGTCGAAATTATCCCACGCTACTCCAGATGATAATAAAGAAGTTGGTTGAATGCCGGCAGGACATGATCGATTATTAGTGGCACAAGAATATGCAGCAGACGTCTCCAATTCCAGTACGCTTGGATAAGTGATGCAGTAACCTTGTCTGCTTAATATATCCACAACTTTTTTGCTTCCCGTGAGGCTTTTCATTGTTATACCCAGTAAAATATGTTTTCGCGGTTTAATATAACCTTTAGTAATACTGTAGATTGAGTCCTGCGAATAACATGAAGACAATCTCTGAACCCGATCGCAGCTTTCTTTGCCAATACCGTTCAAAGCAGTAGTCCAAAATAAATCCAACCATTTTGGAACATCGCACTCTCCTTCATTTAATACTTCACTATCAATGAAATCAGTTAAAGGTTTTTTTTTAATTTTCAATATATTTTCTCGATATTTCAAGGCGAAATCCTGTGCTTCTTGTTGAAATAATATATTACTGATTTCTTCATCATCGGTTGTTTCAATATCTACATCAGATGAAATAACAAATTGTTGATTAGAAATATTAACCAATGATATTTTGTGTCTTAATTGAGCTTGTATAAAATCCTTTTTGAGATTTGTATTTTTACAGAAACACTAATGTCGATTCAGATTTACTTGTTTTAAAAATGAACAATAACTAACAAATAAAAAAATTTTAATTAACTAACCGTGAAGTGCATGGCAATGGGTCTGGTTCTGCATTTGGAGCAGACGTTAAAGAAATCGAGGAATCAATAATTGCGGTAGATTGAGACGTAGATGATGTTGAAGCTGGCTCAGTGCTGTGTATATGAGAAATTATTTAAAAAATAAATAAATAATTATTTATTTGAGAAAGATGCAAGTACACACAGTCTACATAAATATCACTTAAGATTATCGATATTGAAAAAATGATCCCATATTAAATTAATATTTGGTAAAATAGTTATACAAGAACAAATGTAAATAATAAAAAACTTCCCGAGA